CTCCCCCCCATCCCGGGTGAAGCAGGGCTGTCCCCGTACTGTCCTCATCCCCCCCGTGGGGACCCCAGGCCCTGCTCGCCGTGGGGTACCCAGTTAATTTGCACAAAGTGGGTGTCCCCCCTCAGCCCGACGCCATGGGACCACCCAGCACCGCAGCAGACATCTCAGCTGCTCCGGGCAGCCTCTGCCCGGCCGGGTTGCTAATTGCAGCGGGGGGAGGAATTAATGATCTTAATCCCTTCTTTCTGATTGACCCGAGTAAAGACCGCCAGGGCCCCCCCGCCCCGTCCCGTTTCTGCCCCTTTTCTGGCCCCCGTCCCCTGGGGAAGGCGCCGGGCAGCGTCATCTGGGTCCCTGTCAGAAGGTGCTTAGTCCCGGCCGTGGCATTAAGGGGCACGTGATGGGCTCCCTCGCCCGGGTCTTTGCACCGGGCAGCTTAGCAGCCTGGAGGGACGCCAGAGTTCAAGGGGACACCACCAAGGTCAGGAGGCCCTAACCCACACCCAGGGGTATCCCCGGCCCTACACAGGACCCCTTCACCCCACTGTGAGGTACAACCAGAGCTAATGGCTATGGGAAGGGTCAGACAGCCAGGTGCCCCTGGGGCTCAAGTGACTCCGGTGTCACCTGCTTCATCCTCCCTGCTCTCACCAAGACCCACTTCCATGGGTCACTCCAAAAACCTGCGGCCTGCCAGGCCAGAGCAAGGCAGCAGCACTCACCCATGGTCCAAGGGGGAGTAAAGGGAACCTGACCCAGCTCCAGGGCTCTCCTCATTGCCCCCTGGCACTCAGCCCAGCACCCCCCCAAATCGCCCCTGTGCTCTGTCCTGGGGCTCCCCACATCTCTGCACACAGGTTGACCTCGGGGACCAGCAATAGTCCTAACAACTCCAAAAAAATGAAGGTTGCAGAATGATGTCTGGTGGTCCAGCATCCCAAGGAACCATCACCAGGGTCTCCCTGACTGTGGGCATCATTTACCCTTGGAGGGGAGCAAGAGAGGAGCTTTGCTTTTTAAATTAAAAATTACAAGCTGTGATTTCCAGCCCCCTCCCGTGTACAATTTCAGCGCATCGCTGGAAAGCCATCAGCTCCTGCCGACGTAAAAAAGTCTCGTCTTCGAGAAAGAACTTCTGCTTTCCTTTAATTCTAAATAAATCAACCTCCTCCCGGAAAAGCCGCCGGTCGGTCAGCCGTGCACAGACACGGCCGTAAAGGGAGGAGAAGAAAGCAGCAAAGACGAAGCCGAGCTGCTCCCGGGCTCCGGAGACAAAGGGAGAAAATAAAAGTTCGGCTTTTTTTCTAATCCCTGGGCGCTGGGTGGGCACTGGGGGCGGCAGCTTTGTCTGCCCGGAGCAGACGGAGGACGGAAGGGACCCCGGCGTCTTTTCAGCCTCCAGAAAGGCAGTAATTGTCCCCTCCACCGGGTTTTTTTGTCCCCGCTTCCTCCCCTTCGCCACGCGGCCGCCCGCCCAGCGCGGCCCCCACCTCCCCTAGCAAAGCACTGGTGATGGACGGACAGACGGACAGATGGATGGACTCAGCCGTGCCACAGGCAGACCTAAAGAGAGTTGCATGATGACCTAAAGAGAGATGCATGGATGCTCTGGGCACCCACCACCAGCACTTGCCCCTCTCCAAGGCATCCCAGAAGGGTGCAGGTCCAGGTAGGGGGTCCCTTCCCATCTACAGGTATCACAGCTCCAGAGAGGGGCCAGAGGTGGGCCCCGAGCTCCTCAACCCCCTTGGCCAACAGCCACAGACAGGACCTCGGGACAGGCAGGATTGCAGGGTCACAGTAGGAGCGATGCACGGTGAGTCTCAAGACACCCCTGAGGCATCCCAGTGTCTGAAACACTCCCTGGAATGAGACAAGGCAGCAGGTAGGACAGGACCACCGCCCTACAACACCACCACGGGTCAGAGGGTCAGCTGCCACTCAGGTCAAAGGCTGAGGAGAACAAGAACCACCAGAACATGGTTCAGAGCAGCTCCAACCCCAGCACCACAACACCCGACTCAGTTCCCAGGTACCTGAT